AAAAAAAAAAAAAAACAAAAAAGAGGGAACTAAACGGTGAACCACATGTCAGCCCAAAAAATCTAAGCATATTAATGCTTTTATATATGGGAGTATAATAATTACAGGCAAAATGAGATATATAAGTATTGACCCTTATTTTTTATTAATAGTATTTTCAGTTAAATAACTATATAATAAAAAAGATATTAATTATAAATAAAAGACAAAAATAAAGATACATATACTCTAAAAATAATTTTAACAATTTTCTCATAATTATATGTGAGTGTAGTAGCTTAGTCACATTAATAGAAAGGAAAGGCTTTTTGGTCTTTTAAGCCCTTTTTTTTTAATTGTAAGTTTTTTTTTTTTTTTTTGGTTAATTTTGGATTGCAAGTTTCACAAAGAATATTAATGATTGTCTATATTTTGTTTTTTTTGCTTGGAATGATTGTCTATACTTTGATAATAAAAGAAAGAGAAAAGAATGGTTCTTTCTTATTTATAATATTAACAACAATATTTAATTGCCAAAAGTATCATTAGATGGTTTCAAAATAAATGATTAATATTGTTACACCATGGTTGAGAGATCAATCATTCATCTGGACGGCAAGCGCCGAGGCCTCTCTGTCGAGAATCGGTCACTGACGTCGAGGAAACTACTGTGTCTAGGGTGTCCTTTGGACGTCGAGAGTTCATGCGGGATAACGTGCGTCGAGAACGATGCTTGAGTTGTGGGGGTCACGATGTCGAGGTAGCAGTCCAGTCCAATCCAAAGACAGTCCTGTCAACTCGAGGAAAGATACACTGTACCAACTACTACTGCCGAAGTCAGGAAATCAGGTAGCCGGTAAGGGTGGTTAGCATGATCGGAAAGCTGTAATCATGAAAATACAACTGCCAAACTCCAGAATTTAGGGATAGAAGATGATCTCCTCGGGGAGTGTATAGGAGGTCTCTCATATGTGCAAGGTCTATAAATAGAGCCATGGGTATTCATTAAGTTTTTTATGCACTATTCTACTACTACAGAGAGATTGTAATCAACAAGATATTAGTGCATCCACAAGTGGACTAGGATAAGAAATCTTGCCGAACCACTATAAATTCTTGTCTTATTTACATTATTATGCAACATTAATCCTTAATTAATCTGTGAGAGGTTACAGCGGGAGTTCTCGGAGAGTTAATCTTTAGTTGACTAAAATCCACCGTCAACAATTGGCGCTAGAAGGAGGGCCTAAACCCAGAAATCAATCCGGTAGTAAGCAGTGAATATGGCTCCTCTGAGAAAGGCCCACAGCATGACGACAACTCAAAAAAGGCAGGAAGGCCAGAATCCTACCGTCGGAGGAAGGAATCTGACGAATCCGTCCAACGGCGGTCAAGAACCAGCGGGGGCACGGCCCAACTGCAGGACGCAACCACCAGCGCTGAGAACCTTCATAACCTCTTTGACCAGCTCCAAAGGCAGGTCGAAACACTTGCTGTGGCTGTAGAGAGGTTGGCCATAGCCCTCGCCGGATAGGAGCAAAGGCCAAATTAAATGACGCCGTTAGAGGATGCGCTGATGAACCCGGTGAACGTTGCCGTCGGGAACCAAGTAATTGGTGACCGACGTGGTGACGCCGAGGGAGTCAGTGACAGTGGGGCCAACAACCCCCGCCCAGCTAAGTCGAATAGGTCTGTGGGGAGCAGGCAACGAGCTGCCAAGAGGTGAGCCCAGGAGAAGGCTGCGGCCCAGACAGCAAATGACCGAGAAGTACCTCCTCGACTGCAGGAGAACGTGAATCGGAGGAACGCGGTCCCGGTAGAATCTTCATCTGTTCGAGGAGGAGACTTGAGGGAGTGGTTGAACGCCCGACGCGATTGAGACGTGCAACAGACCAAAGAAGAAGAACTCGTGGCCGAGAATAATGCCTTGGCCGAGAAGATTGCCAAGCTTGAAAAGCAAATAGGGAGTTGGCTAAACAACTTTGAGCAAGTTGTGGGAAAGGTGGCCGAGGCCGTAAATGTTGATGTACATGTCTCATGACCACCCATTCACAGAGAACCTCATTCAGGTGCCGTTATCCGATAAGTATAAGCCGACCCTGATTCTGCTATATGATGGAACGAGTGATCCGGATGACCACCTGGAAGTTTACAAAGGGCACATGGTCCTTCACGGGTATCCTGATGGGGTTATGTGCCGGGCGTTCAGAAATTATCTTTCTGATTCTGCCAGGAGATGGTTCAGGTCCTTAAAACCCAACTCCATTACCAACTGGGATGACTTGAAGAACACCTTCCTGACTCAGTTCATAGGTGTCAAAAAGTACATCCCAAATAAGTAAAACCTTTCAAGGGTGTATCTGGGACAAAACGAGTCCCTAAAAGATTGGATAGCCCGATTCGGGGAATAGGTGGCTGCCACCGAGGGGATCTCCGACGAGGTGGCTTTGATAGGGGCCCAGTCGAGCATGAAAAAGGACATTCCATATAGCATAGACCTCGACCGAAGGCCACCCCAGACCTACCAAGAATTCCTGGCGAGGGCACATGGATTCATCAATTCAGAGGAGGCCAAAAAGGCCTTAAAGAGCAAGGTGAGGGCCCCCACCAAAGATGAAGTAGGACAGTCGAGTCATCAAAACAACGGTAAGAAGCGCCGAGGCAATCCTAAGGTGTAAATGGAGCAAATGTATAATCTGGCCTTAAACAACAGGGGTGGCAACGCCTCAACGGGGCAGGGGGACACCAAGCGACCTAAGCCGCAAAAATATGATGCCTACACCCCTTTAACCATAGGGATCGAGGAAATCTATCACGAGATCAGTCACCTCCACGTACAATGTCGCCCACCACCGCTGAAATTTGACCCAGTGCGGAGAAACCAAAGCAAGTATTGCAGGTTTCATGGCGAGAGTAAGCACACGACCACCGAATGTTTTGATCTAAGAGATGAAGTTGAGAGGCTGATCCAGGAAGGGAGGCTCAGTGAATATCGAGCCGACCGACGGGGCAACAACAGTCGGAGGAACAATGTCCGACGGGAGGGCCAAAGGCAAAACCATCCCCTCGAACCTGTCAGCGTAATAAGGATAATTTTTGGAGGGCCATATATTGGCGGTACCTCTCACTGCGCACAGAACGAATACGTGAGAGAGGCGAAGGAAAAGTTCAACCAAAGGGTTATGAGTGTGTCCGGTAAAGAGGCGAAGGCTACAAGATATGAAGAGGCCGAGATAACGTTCTTGGAGGCGGACGCAAACGGGGTGCATTTCCCCCAAAGTGATGCTCTAGTAATGGAGGCCATGATCGGTAACCACATGGTCTGCCGCATCTTAATGGACAACGGCAGCTCGGTAGACATTCTATACGCCGATTGCCTTGACAAGATGGGAATCGCTTGAGCGAGACTGCAGAATAATGTGCAACCCCTATACGGCTTCACCGGGGATTACGTCGTTCCTGAGGAATGATAGAACTACCAATGATAATTGGTGACTGACCACACACCTCGACCGTTATATCACGGTTCTTGGTGGTGAAGGGAGGTGACCAGTATAACGCAGTTATAGGGCGACCGCTGTTGAGAGCATTGAAAGCAGTCACATCGATCTGTCATGAAATGATGAAATTTCTGACCCCTAGCGGAATCGGAAGAGTCAGGGGAAACCAGTACGAGTCGAGCCTCACATACTCAGAGACAGTCCGTCATTACGTCGAGCCAGGGCAAGTGAGAAGAGACATGATGATGGTGGCGACTAAAGCAGAGGAGTTTGACCTAAATCCAATACTCTTAGACGAAGAAACAGGAATGAGACCGGTCAAAAAATTGATCAAGATCCCCATTGATGAAAATGAGTCAACAAGAAAACTGAGAATAGGCTCTGAGCTTGAATAACATAGCCGGGAAAGGCTGATAGAATTCCTCAGGAGTAACCCTGACGTGTTTGCCTGGACTCACGAGAACATGGAAAGGATAAGCCGGGACATAATGAGCCGCATGCTCAACATAGATGAGAAGTATCCCCCCAAGAGGCAAAAGCGTCGACCAATGAATGTCGAGAAGTATGAGGCTCAACGAGAGGAGGTCGACAAATTAATAAGAAACAACTTCATTCTGGAAGTTCTGTACCCTGAGTGGGTTTTGAACCCTGTACTGGTATTAAAACCCAGCGGATAGTGGCGGACCTGTGTTGACTTCAGCGACCTAAACAAAGTCTGTCCAAAGGACAACTTTTCGCTCCCAAGGATAGATCAGCTGGTCGATGCCACGACAGGGCATGAACTCTTGAGTTTTATGGACGCGTATTCTGGCTACAACCAGATATCGATGTTTCACCTGACGAAGAACACACATCATTCATCACGGACAGGGGCCTGTATTGCTAAAAGGTTATGCCCTTTGGCCTTAAAAACGCGGGAGCAACATATCAATGCCTGGTCAACAGGATATTCACAGACCAGATAGGGAAAACGATAGACATATATGTGGATGATATGCTGGTAAAGAGCAAGAAGTCTGAGGACCATGTAGAGGACCTTAAGGGAATGCTCGACGTCCTGCGGATGTATATGATGAAGCTGAATTCCCTTAAGTGTCCGTTCGGGGTCAAATTGAGAAAATTCTTAGGTTTTATGGTGAGTAGTCGAGGAATCGAGGCTAATTCAGAGAAGGTGCCGGCGCTCCTCGACATGAAATCGCCACAAAAACTAAAAGAAGTTTAGAAGCTAACGGGTTGTATTGTCACACTCAACAGGTTTATCTTGAAATCTACAGATAAATGCATACCGTTCTTTGACACTCTGAGAGGAAGCAAGCCGTTTCAATGGACAGAGGAGTGCGAACACGCATTCCAACAATTGAAGGAGCACCTTGGGAATCCATCCCTACTGTCCAAACCTACGGCCGGAGAGGTACTGAGCTTGTATCTGGCGGTTTCAGAACACACCGTTAGTTTGGTGTTGGTCCGCGAAGAGAAGAAGCATAGGTTGTTGCTAGGAACCCATCTTGAAATCGACTTTGTTGCTGAGTTCACGGGGTTGCCAGATGAAGCAGAGGTTATTGGCGGGCCACTCAGATGGAAACTCTAAGTCGACGGAGTGGAGCAGGGTTGATATTACATACTCTAGAGGGTCACAAAATAACCTCAGCCGCCAGGTTTGAATTCTCCGCATCTAACAATGAGGCAGAATATGAAGCACTACTGGCTGGACTCCGGTTGGCAGAACACCTAAAAGTTGGAGGCTATAGACATCTTCAGCGATTCACAGCTGGTCGTGAACCAGGTGAAAGGCGAATATCAAACAAGGGATGGAAAGATGACAGCCTACCTTAAGAAGGTTATAGAGGCCTTAGAAAAACTCACGGCCTATGACATGCAGCAAGTGCCAAGAGCAGAAAATAGCAACGCTGATGCCCTTGCCAGGTTAGCCACCTCAAAGGATGTCGAGCTGTTAAAGTTGGTACCCATGGAAGTTTTAAAAGCTCGTTCCACCGAGGGAAAGCCTGAAGTCATGTCGGTGAATCGCTAGCCGATCTGAAAGTTCCTAATCATTAGATATTTGGTCGACGGTGAACTCCCAGAGGACAAACAGCAAGCAAAAAAGTTGAGGTACCAGGAGTCGAGATTCACCATGCACGATGATACTCTCTATCGAAAGGGATTCTTGTCGCCCCTGCTTAGGTGCCTTGATGAAGAAAAAGCAAAGAGGGTGCTCTCAGAAATACATGACGGGATATATGGGGCTGATAGCATTCCTCAGGAGTAACCCTGACGTGTTTACCTGGACTCACGAGGACATGGAAAGGATAAGCCGGGACATAATGAGCCGCATGCTCAACATAGATGAGAAGTATCCCCCCAAGAGGCAAAAGCGTCGACCAATGAATGTCGAGAAGTATGAGGCTCAACGAGAGGAGGTCGACAAATTAATAAGAAACAACTTCATTCTGGAAGTTCTGTACCCTGAGTGGGTTTTGAACCCTGTACTGGTATTAAAACCCAGCGGATAGTGGCGGACCTGTGTTGACTTCAGCGACCTAAACAAAGTCTGTCCAAAGGACAACTTTTCGCTCCCAAGGATAGATCAGCTGGTCGATGCCACGACAGGGCATGAACTCTTGAGTTTTATGGACGCGTATTCTGGCTACAACCAGATATCGATGTTTCACCTGACGAAGAACACACATCATTCATCACGGACAGGGGCCTGTATTGCTAAAAGGTTATGCCCTTTGGCCTTAAAAACGCGAGAGCAACATATCAATGCCTGGTCAACAGGATATTCGCAGACCAGATAGGGAAAACGATAGACGTATATGTGGATGATATGCTGGTAAAGAGCAAGAAGTCTGAGGACCATGTAGAGGACCTTAAGGGAATGCTTGACGTCCTGCGGATGTATATGATGAAGCTGAATTCCCTTAAGTGTGCGTTCGGGGTCAAATTGAGAAAATTCTTAGGTTTTATGGTGAGTAGTCGAGGAATCGAGGCTAATTCAGAGAAGGTGCCGGCGCTCCTCGACATGAAATCGCCACAAAAACTAAAAGAAGTTTAGAAGCTAACGGGTTGTATTGTCACACTCAACAGGTTTATCTTGAAATCTACAGATAAATGCATACCGTTCTTTGACACTCTGAGAGGAAGCAAGCCGTTTCAATGGACAGAGGAGTGCGAACACGCATTCCAACAATTGAAGGAGCACCTTGGGAATCCATCCCTACTGTCCAAACCTACGGCCGGAGAGGTACTGAGCTTGTATCTGGCGGTTTCAGAACACACCGTTAGTTTGGTGTTGGTCCGCGAAGAGAAGAAGCATAGGTTGTTGCTAGGAACCCATCTTGAAATCGACTTTGTTGCTGAGTTCACGGGGTTGCCAGATGAAGCAGAGGTTGTTGGCGGGCCACTCAGATGGAAACTCTAAGTCGACGGAGTGGAGCAGGGTTGGTATTACATACTCTAGAGGGTCACAAAATAACCTCAGCCGTCAGGTTTGAATTCTCCGCATCTAACAATGAGGCAGAATATGAAGCACTATTGGCTGGACTCCGGTTGGCAGAACACCTAAAAGTGGAGGCTATAGACATCTTCAGCGATTCACAGCTGGTCGTGAACCAGGTGAAAGGCGAATATCAAACAAGGGATGGAAAGATGACAGCCTACCTTAAGAAGGTTATAGAGGCCTTAGAAAAACTCACGGCCTATGACATGCAGCAAGTGCCAAGAGCAGAAAATAGCAACGCTGATGCCCTTGCCAGGTTAGCCACCTCAAAGGATGTCGAGCTGTTAAAGTTGGTACCCATGGAAGTTTTAAAAGCTCGTTCCACCGAGGGAAAGCCTGAAGTCATGTCGGTGAATCGCTAGCCGATCTGAAAGTTCCTAATCATTAGATATTTGGTCGACGGTGAACTCCCAGAGGACAAACAGCAAGCAAAAAAGTTGAGGTACCAGGAGTCGAGATTCACCATGCACGATGATACTCTCTATCGAAAGGGATTCTTGTCGCCCCTGCTTAGGTGCCTTGATGAAGAAGAAGCAAAGAGGGTGCTCTCAGAAATACATGACGGGATATATGGAAACCACGCAGGGGCAGTCCCTAGCTTATAAGGTAGTGAGGCAGGGGTACTACTGGCCCAACCTCAAGAAGGAAGCAGTCGAATATGCAAAGAAATGTGAAGGCTGCCAAAGGTACGCTCCCATCCCTTGACTGCATTAAGAAGATCTAACGTCGATAGTCTCTCCTTGGCCTTTTGCTAAATGGAGGATTGATCTCATCGGCCCATTACACGACCCCTGGGAGACACAAGTTCGCCATTGTGGCTGTTGACTACTTTACGAAGTAGGTTGAAGCTGAGCCACTGTCGACGATATCGGAGGAAAAGTGTACAAACTTCATATGGAACAACATAGTCTATCGATTCGGTGAACCACATTCTCTCGTATTAGATAACGGGAGACAGTTTAACAACGATAACACCAACCAGTTCTACGAATTGTTAGGTATCCATAAAAACTTTTCATCTGTTGTATATCCCCAGTCGACGCGGTTAAAAAGATCATAAAAGTCATGCTAAAGCGGCGGTTCGACAGCTACAAAGGGAAGTGGACAGATGAGTTACCAAAGGTCCTGTAGGCTTACAGAACGACTAGTAGGACTACGACGGGGGAAACTCCCTTCTCAATGGCTTATAGGATGGAAGTGGTCCTACCAGTCGAGGTATCCCTTCCCACAAGCCGAGTGACACAATATCAAGAGGCCAGGAAAGCCGAACGAATGGGCTTAGAGCTTAACCTTTTGGAAGAAAGACGCACGGACGAGCAGCTAAGGCTCGCCGCATACCAAGCCAGAACTGTTAGGTACTGCAACAGAAAGGTCAAGCATAAGCGGTTTAGAGTTGGAGATC